GTGGGAATCAAAAACGATATGCTACAGTATAGTAATACAAGATAAATCCCACTTGTTGTACCATGTCAGCAAGAAACACTCCAGCCTTTTATTTAAACTTGTTTAAACCATATCTAAATAAATATGTGTGTCCCGGGCCATAAATGTAAGTATGCTGTCAGATAAAGCCACGGCATCCCAATTCCCGTATTGCTTTCAACCCACCAGCTTTTATGGTGAAAATAAGTTATATAATAATTAACCAGAGGCATGTTTCTCACTATTTTATGCATAGAAACAACAGGCTACTCTGTGTGTGAGGAATCAGCTGTTTATATCATATGAGTTTCATTGTGGCAGCGTCCATCACGTCTCTCCCTGGTTGCTATACACAAAGACAGCTAACTGTAAGCTTGTCACTCAGAGGGGGGTGGGGGCTGGTGAACGGTATGGTCAATGTTTGTTTGTTTAAAAATGTTTGCAGTCGCGAAAGGTCTAAGCCAATCAGACATGGACAAAAAAAAAGGATCAGTCTATGTGTCGAGGGGGACCTAGATACTCCTAGCCCTAGTCCTTTACAGCCATGGTCGGGTCTGACAGCGATCAGCTGTCTGCGGGAGAGAGGAAGAGACAGATCACTGCATGAATATGCAAACCTACAATAAAAGGCCCGGACACACCAATCTGACAACAAAGAACTGACACAGACGGACCCCGACTGTTGCGTCACCTCGCGACTCTGCGTTTTGGCCATGTGTCGCACTGGAACACACCGCAAAGACTTCAGCCGACGGCCAAGAAGCACGTACGAACTGCACATGCGTGAGTGGCAATAACTCTCCTTACCAGCAGGCGGCGGTAGTGCGTATTCGTCATTCAAAAGAGGCAACAACCGGAAGACAGACTGCGTGATAACCGAGAGAAGAAGAACAGACTGCGTGATATAAACAAACAACAAATAGCGTGTGCGTTCCATTTTCACTCTACAACGAGAAGCTCATGGGGCTTTCCCGAACCTGTGTCGAGAGCTGGAGTTAAATTAAATCTCAGATTTGCCTTCTTAATAGATTTGCCTTCTTAATAGTTTGTTTTGGGTCCCTCACTTTCGCTTCTCATGCACTGATTCGCTAGCTGAACAGCCAATCAGAGTAATTTCTTTTGCCGACTGCCTTTGGCCGACGGGTTTTCGGCCGAAAAGGCGTCGGTACGGCTGAAAAGACCCGACGGTGCGGGACACACCAATCTGAGTAGGGCGTGTCAACGCTCATCGTCGGCCTGACGCCCACCGACGCCGATAATCGGCCTGGTGTGTCCGTGCCTTTAATTTAACTGCTGGAGAAGAAAGATCAGAGGGGGGGAGAGCTGTGGCTGATGGGCCATTAGGTGTGTAAACACACAGCTGATCACCTGAGAGCTGCCGTTTCATTCAGACTATTAAAAAAAAACAACGGTCTGATTTGAACATTGCACAACAATGAACTCAATGTGTGATTGTTATAGCAGTAATATTAAACACTAATAATACAGTAAACTGTTAACAATAGTATAATATTATAGCCCGTTTGCCCATGGTGAGATGACGAGGCTTCATTAAAAATAAACCTATTTTTAGTGAATTACTGAGTTTGGGCAAGTTAATAAAGTTTTAATGAAGTTGAATACAGTATATTCATATTTGTCAGTGCTTTCATGACAAATCAGCGAACATAAACATAAATGATCGTGGTGAAGATGATGATTAAATTAGGATTAAAAATCGGTAGTGAGAGCCGTGCTGCATTTCCTCCCGTCGGATGTGATATAAAAACAAACCGATTATTTTTGTAATTGTAAACTCACGTGGATTAAACTACATTTATTAGTGCTTTCATGTCAATTCGGCGAACATATGATACATTAAATGATCGTGAGGATGATGATTAAAAATCGTTTGTATGAGCCGGTCTGCATTTCTTGATGAAAAAACAAACCGATGGTTTTGTATTTACGCCAACGTGGATTAAACAACATTATTTTGTTAAATAAAAACATGGTGATGTTTTGTAAATGATTACATGTCTCTTATTTAGCACAGAATATGATCCTATCCTTGACATATGGATCTAAACAAATATCCGCTATATCAGATACCTGTAGATCTATCAGCTGTTTATTTCACATGAGTTCCAGTGTGGCAGCTTTTTAATTTTTTTCACGCTTCCGGTTGCGTGAAGTGCGCTGCTCGGCTGCGCACCGCGTCTCAGTTGCTCCGTCCGTCTTGTGTTTTGTTTTTTGTTTGTTTGTTTTGGGCTAATTATTGTCTAAATGTTGTTTGTCTGTATGAAACATCATTTTTGAGAGACCATGCTTTTGATCCTGTGGATTACTTTTGCCTTCTGCGGACCATGTCTGGCTATACAACTTTTCAAAACACACCTGAGCCACAACACGAACAGGTATGGCGAGGAGCACCGGCCTCTACGCTGCTACAGCCGCGAGGCTATCCTACGAATACACCAAGCCACCTGTGTTCTTCGTTATTGGATGACATCCCTCGGGAGCTGCTTAGAAACATCAGGAAAAAGAGATGAGGAAGGAGGGGAGGCGTTCGGCCACCACTTCCATCCATCATTCTGACAAATCTGCGCTCATTGAGCAACAAAGTGGACACACTAACCCCTAGTTTCCACCTGGTCCGTCTGCGTCGCGTTACGGCTGCGCCGCGGTTTTGGTCCGACCTCCTCTAGCGTCATAACCCACCGGGCGCGTCCCAGAAGCATTTCAGAAGCGGAGCGTCCTGCATGCAGGCGCGCAGTTTTTGTTGATTTGGGCATATTTCCTGGACAGGCTACTTTGTACAGACAAAGTTAATAATAACTAATATTCCAGCTATAAACGACATGAATCAAAGATGTGTTGCTGTATTTTAGTGGTAAAAAAATGCATTCATCATCATAATTATTCTATATATATAATTTACACAGTGCCTGTAAACCGGAGAAGAACGCTGGCATTTCTCCTCCTACTTGAAAGACTACGGAGGGATAGGGTCTGCTAAATTAGTTTGTGTGTGTGTATATATATATATATATATACTAGGGCTGTCAGTCGATTAAAATATTTAATCGCGATTAATCGCATGATTGTCCATAGTTAATCGCGATTAATCGCAAATGAATCGCACATTTTTTATCTGTTCTAAATGTACCTTAGAGGGATATCTTTCAAGTTTTTAATACTCTTATCAACATATGAGTGGACAAATATGCTTTATATGTTTGTTTATTATCATTTGAACAATGACAAATATTCTCATGAATATTAAACACAACAACCTCTGAACATTACAAATATTCGCCTCAATTCAACCTGGAACCTCTTTCATACAATAATACTGTGTGTGTGTGTGTGTGTGTGTGTGTGTGTGTGTGTGTGTGTGTGTGTGTGTGTGTGTGTGGAGACACTGTGATGAATCGTTGGAGCTATGTGCAGCTCAAGGCATATATGCTCGAATGGGAGCTGCCTGGACGCTGCAATCATGTTGCGCGTACGATCCGTGCTGAGTGTGCTGACTTTTCGTACAATGTCCCACTGTCTGGCTACCTGCATAAAGTCAAGTGCTCGGCGCAGTTGTCGGCGAAATGTCATTGAAACAGCTCCTTAAATCCGTTAGCGCAGCTAGCTAGCACCAGATGCTAACAACAACAACACGTAAGGTGTGCCTCGCTCGCGCGAGTCGCGCCACACATACACACTCCCTCCCGGTCCTCCCGATGGCCAGTCCGGGCCTGCCAGTGAGCGTGGAAGTGTGGTCTGCCACAAGCGGGCGGCAGGAGCGGGGCTGTCAGCATCAGCTTGTCGATGGTATTTTACACTCGATGCGCTCTGAAACTACGGCGGCCGAGGACAAAAAATACACATGCGTTAATCGCGTTAAAATAATTAGTGGCGTTAATTTTTTTTTGCGTTAACGCGTTATTAACGCGTTAACTTGACAGCCCTAATATATACATATGCTATATATGCTCTGAACGTTCCACTTCCTGCCTGCCCGACATTACCTTACGGCTGCGTCGCGTCAAAAATAGGATTCATCCTCATTTTAGAGGAGCCCTGCGCCGAGGCGCTTCTGGGACGCTTCTGAGCCGTAACGCGCCGCGTGTGGTGGAATAGCACCCATTAACTAGAGTGGCCGCGATCTTTGCGAACGCCGCGGCGCAGCCGTAACGTGGCCGTAACGCGACGCAGACGGACCCGGTGGAAATTAGGGGTTAGGATATACACAAGGTACTGTCATGAATTTCGTGAGGCCTCTTTACTATGTTTCACGGAAAGTTGGCTACAATCTACGATGCCTGAATCTCTCTTTGAAGTACCCGGATTCACCCTTGTTCGAGCAGACAGGGATGCGAACTCGGGGAAAACCAGAGGAGGCGGTATTTGTGTGTATATTAATGATCTGTGGTGCCGATCATACTCAGTAAAATGTAAAACCTGTGATCCCAACATAGAAATTCTCGGCATGACGTTAAGACCCTTCTATCTGCCTAGAGTCCACACGGCGGCGTGCGTTGAAGCTTGCCGGTGGGCTTGTCTGAAACTCGACCAACAACCAATCACATGAATCTCCCGCCCCGGACACACAAGCACGCGGTTTGATTGGCTAGAGCTTGTACTGGCATATGATTTGATTGGCTGACGCTTCCATCGAAGCTTCAAAAGTTGAACATTGCTCAACTTTTGAAGCGAGCAACGCGAGCAAAGCGAAGCGACGGAACCACAATGCAGTTCGGCAAAGCGTGACGTCACCCCATTCAAAGTGAATGGGCAGAAGCGTTGAAGTTTCAACGCACGCCGCCGTGTGGACGGGCCGTTATGCTGCTGCTGCAGATGATGAGTTCAGCTCTCCCCCTGTAACATCCGGCTGTGTACCTGTCCAAGATGGAGTGCTCCAGTGTCTCTGTTTTGGCTTGTCAGATCTAATAAACATTTCTGTGTGTTCTTGTGTGTGTGTTCGTGGGGGTTCTTTGTGGTTTCTACAGGGAGTTTGCCAAGGAGAGAGAGCGGGTGGAGAAGAGGCAGGAGTTCCTGAAGCTCCGCAGACAGCGGCAGATAGAGAGAGAGTTAACCGGGTACCTGAAGTGGATCTGCAGAGCTGGTCAGAAACAAGCACACATAAAACATTTTAGCAGTAACTGAAGTTGACACAAATATGATGGGATGGTGTTTGTGTTGCAGAGGAGGTGATGCTGGCTGAGGAAGACAAGCATGCAGAAGATAAATCTCTGGATGGAGCATGGTACAAAAGGAAACAAACCAACTCTGGTGAGAAACACATTGTCTTAAAGTCTAGGGACAGTTTAGAGAGCAGCCCAAACTATAAAAGATTATGAATAACAAGGCTTCAACCTATTGTGCTTTCAGCTGATAATGTGACAGATACACACATTGTGCATGTGTTTCCTTCTTCCCAATTTGCAAAGCCTTTGTGTAAAGAAGTTGTTTTTTCACTTCTTCTGAAAGTCTGCCTCACCACCCATGTTCTATGATCCCTATAAAATGCAATATGTCTTACTTGATAATAAACTGCTACATACTATTACATTAAATCAGCTAATCAATTAAATAAACAGAGCCTCCAGTAATTGTTTCTATTTAAAGTCAAAATGTCTCCTGTGAAAACAAAGGCTGTCACATTGTTCCTCCCTGTGAAGCTCAACATCACTGAGCTCACATTGACCCAGTTACTCAGTGCTAGTCCTTTTCACCTGCCTTAACTAGTACAGTATTTAAACACACTCACAGTGGATCAGTCACCATGGATGATGGTCCGTTAGACTACTAGATGATGACAGCGCTGCCATAATGTGTGGAGGTACATATTGGCAGGTATTTAACCCTCCTGTAGTGCTTGGGTCAAATCTGACCGATTTACTACTTTCATCAATAATACATATTGTGTTTTACATTTGATTGCTTCAAGGCCTTATAATATCCTCCACAGCAGGTATCTGAACATATAAAACTGCTGGTCCCAATTCCCCACTTTCATTGAATTCTGAGTGGTTTAGTCAACTTTAACACCTATGATGTTGATGGTCAAAAATGACCCCCATAGGAAATGAATCGGTAACCCTAGATTATGGTCATCCATCAGATAGTGCACACCCACACATTTAATTTTTGAATTTTCAGTGATATTCTTTGTATATTTACTGCAGTTGTTCATTTGAACCAGTAGTATGACATTGTTTACAGCTCAATAGGGTGTTCAATAACATTTGGTGATGATTAAAGGTTTTTGTGTTAATGTAAGAGCAGTAAAAAAGACCGGTCAAATTTGACCGGGAACACCAAAATAAGGGGGGAGAAACACGACCAGAGGGTTTAAAGCACTTTAATTGGACAACATTGTAGAGAGGTGCCATTTGAATGCAAGTGCATTTACCATTAGTAATTCACAGTATTAGTATACTTGATGGGTAGCTGTCCTACTGTTAGACCTACCACCAGCTTCTAGTTGCTGATACACAGGTCATTTCCACTGGCATTCCCCTCTGAGTGTGTGTGTGTCTGTGAGTGTGTGTGTGTGAATTCTGTTCCACTGTAACAGTCACAGTGATCATGTTGTCGGGGTGGGAGGGTAATGAGATTAGAATGAGTTCAGAGAGGGAGGCTCACTGGAGTTCAGAGGCAGCGTGGGAGAGTGAGGGTCCTTCACTCAACTTTTAGAGCTCTTTTCTTCTCTGTTCAGATTCTCTGCCTGATTTGTTATGGCTCTTAAGAGCAAAACTGAACTGTGCTACATTGTAAAACACAGTGGCGAGCCGTGACTTGTATACCTAGGCCCTCCCGCAACGATGTCATCACTATCACTGACATGAGCCATCATGAACGAACTTAAATCTATCGATTAGATTTATGATTCGAAAATCATAAAAGTAGGGTAGACATGTGGATATTATCCGGCTGAACAAAACGTGCATTTATCTAACAGGTTCGTTTTCCACAGACCTTATTTCGAGCTATTTTCTAAAATCCTATAGAGAAATTCCATTGCTTTTTTGTCGAGGGAACCCATGCGCAGATTACTTACGTCACTGCACCACTCTATAACACACATGCATAAACTTCACAGCGGGCGGAACTTGTCATAAAGTCCGCGAAAATAAAGCCCACCCAGTTACTGTAGCTGGCCCTCTGTGAATTTACAGCTGGACCACCAATCAGCTCCTATCTTCACAGTAACTCGCAGAGAGGGCCAAAGGAGCTTCTTTCATTTAACCTTTCACATTCCAACAGAAACTGAACAGGCAGATTCGAAGGATTTATTTCTTTGGAAATGTTATTTGAAATACAATTAAATCAAGTTATTTTGGTAAAACTAATGAAAAATATAACTAAAGAAATATTTCAATTTTTTATTTTTCAAATATTAGAGAGGGCCCTGGCGGCTCGCCACTGGTAAAACACCAGCAGCGAGCTGGAAAGAAATATAGAGAGATGTAGCAATGAAGCAACATTAGATGCCCTCATTCTCTCACCATGATAGTGAATGTCGTGTAAAAACTGTTTATTTAATAACCGAGGCCTTTAAATCGCTCATATCAGCTGTTTTCACTTCCACTCTTGTGCTTTAGAGTTTCTCTTTCGATAAGATTTATGTGCCAAAACTGCACGGTTATTTAAAAAACATTTCAACATAAGAATCTCTATGGTTGTTAAATTACGTACATGACATAACTTTGCTTAATAGGCTGCTTCAGTTGGAATAACTGAACAATGACCTTTGGTTTCAAACGGGACAAACTGTAGTGTAAATGACTCTGACCTTCTTGTTTTGTATCTGTGTCAGAATATTACTGCCTTTTGAATCTACTCATAGGTGTAACAGGACTTTCCAGCACATATCTATAGTTCTGATAACCACTAATAACGCTGTTTAAAGAGCCTTCATAAAGCCAGTTATTATTATAATTAAAAACCATAAAATGTCAGTAGTAGCAATTGTTCTGGTTCCCAGAGCCCAAGTTGATTTATGTTCAGATGTCTTGTTTTGATGACTAAAGGCTCAAACCTAAAGAGTGTTTCAGCCCTAAATATAAGATTATATTTAAGCAATAGCTCACGACAGGCCGTGGTATATGCTCATTATATCACAGTTAAGGGGCGTGGTTCGGCCCGACGCGAAGCGGAGGGTCGACAACCCCCTTAGCTGTGATATAATGAGCATATATCACGGCCTGAAGTGAGCTATTGCTTTTATAAAACGGTTACCAAGTGTGGCAATATGAAAGAAAAATACACACTCTAATTTAAATAGTTTTTATTAGTAAATAATGATGTTCAAAATAAAATAGTCCCTCTGTTGCCTTCTGCACGAAACATAGTGCGAGGTGGTTGCTATGCAACAACACTAACAACAGCTAGCGAACATATTAGACAGAGAGCGTTGATCCATTATTTGGCTATTTATTTACATTAATGTGTATGTTGCTGTTTATTTTGCACCCACTGAAAAACTGTCCAGCATCAGTAGCATGGCTTACGTGGTTACTTGTATAGGCTGAGGTTGTTCTAGGCTGTTGCTTGGCGTGGCGAGAATATTGCTCCACTTTCTCCGGTCCCCGAGATTCGGCTTCCAGTAGCTCTGGAGAGAGCTTTCGCACCTGTGGCCACTAACGGTCATCATTTCTCTGCTTTGTTTCAAGACCCGCATCAGAAAGCTTTTGAATGGTGATACTTCTCCAGTTGGTCTACCTGCTCTTCACGTAGCTCTACATGTCGTTGTTTAGGTGCTTTTTGTTCTGGAGATAGGCACTCTTCAATCCACTCCTCCATAGTAAGACCCCCCCCCCCCCCCCCCCCCCCCGGAGGTCGAAGTTAATCTTAAATGTCTTTGCGGACCTTTTTGATTACAGATTTGAAAACATCGTTGCTTGCTTTAAAAGTAGCACAATTCATTATGTCAAACCTTGGAAAGTATCTAAATATCCCTGCCCTAATGCCAAAGGAACTGCACACTGAATATGTTTTTGCCATTTGATGTCTATGTCTGGACCGTTGCGTAAAAAGGAGGGTTTCTGCTCCGTTACTTCTCCGCTGCTTTCTTGTTCCAGTTTGAAAAGCAAACTGCAGGCAGTTTGCTTTTCAGTCCAACTGTATACTGTTTATCTCAGACGCGGAGGGATACTGAGTTGTTGTGAAAAGTAACTTACAATTCTACCCGTGGTATACGCTCAGTATACCACGGCTAAGAACCAATCAGATTGCTTGATTTTACTTGTCCGTTTTATAAATATATGATATAGGTTCCTTTCTTGTTGTTTTATTTTCTATACATATAATTTCCTCAGATAAAACAGAAATGGGGTTTTACTCATTAGACCTTTGCTTTATTTTAGAAATGATGATAAAAGTGCACTATAGTCCAATACGAAGGGATTGTATATTAATTCATTGATGTTGAATAAAGGGGACTGGTCAGACATGGCGACATATGAAACTGTAATTAAGATTTTTTTAAAAAAACCTTTGTGATGAAAGCAAATGATGAAAAAAAGAATGAAAAAGGAAGAGAAACAATCTTCCTTATTAACATTAACAGAAGAGTGTGGTTCAGACGAGCTGCCTCATGACTGCTGTTTCTTTCCATGTTGTGATGCAGTGCTCAAAAGAACCAAGAAGAGTAAGAATGACCTCATCAACGCTGAAGAGGACATCTCATCTGTTGGTGAGACACCAGATCTGTTACTGTCAGACCCTCACACTGTGTTTGAAGGCAACACTGTTGTTCACACTACAATCAGAGAGGATGCTGTTTTGTTAGATTGTGACAGATTGTCAGACGTATTAAATGGACTCTCATAGTGAACACTATTTTGTTGAGTTGAAATATCTTTGCACCAAGAGGCCACATTGAAAATATCTATACTTTAAGAGTTTTTCATCAGTATATTCAGTGGATGCACACATTCTGCAAACACACTTTAACATGTTTTTAAAAAATGGTTTCCTCTTCCATTCTTTATTTGAATGTTTTTTGGAGGCTGTAGAGGTAAATTATCCATTAATACAAGTATATCCTATACATCCAAAGAATAAAGGAATACAATTTGTTCCTATCCGGTGACATGACAAATGTACCTTTACTACGAAAAAAGTTGCAGATATTGTCAGATAAGGTAACCATGGGTAGTTGAATTATTTAGAAAAGTTATGATTGATATAAGCAAACCTACTTATTTCCCCCCCCCCCCCCCCCACACACACACACACACACACACACACACACACACACACACACACACACACACACACACACACACATAATGAAAAGTCCTCACATGAAAAAGCTGCGGTTGAGATAAGTTTTAAGAACATTTATTATATCACATTTATTACATTTGTTCTTATGGTTCTTCCCATAAGTGCCATCTTCAATCTAACAATTACATTTCTCTGCAGTGAATTAGTGTGTTTAGGGCCATAACGATAGAACAACTAGGGTAGTCCATACCAATACCAAAAAAATGATTTCAACAATCTTGGATGATGAAGTGTGAATTGTTTACTCATTCTGTGTGAAAAGTTTGATTGCACTGATTTTTGAGAATGTATTATTAATCCCTGATTATCCACAAGCCTGAATTCCAAACACACTTTTGGAAGAGTGGATGCAGAGCTGCAGCTGCATTTGTACTGCCCCGTCAGCTCGGGAAGAATTGTAACCCTGGTACTTGTGTAACTTGGAGGAAAGTAGAACAACAACAGCATCAGTTCTTGTGACATCCCTGGGAGAAAATAAACGTATTTGAGATACTTTCATAAGAAAGGTAACGTGGGAGAAAATACGTTTCTAATTAAACGTAATTGAGAATGCAGTTTAGTTCTGTGGGAACGTAATTTTTAGGAGACAGGGTTGACAGGCTGACGCTCCCGTTGATTGAAAACGCTCCTGTGGGTCATATTATGGGTCGGAACAATCGGCCTATTTGGTCGTATTAGTTGGAGGACTTGTTGCCTCAAACAGAGTCTGATCTCCTTGGTTCAAGACGAGGTAACTTTATTGCATTTTGTATGTTTTGCTCCAACTGCCCCCCCCGGGTCTCCGCTCACCCGGGCCAGCTTGAAGAGCAAGAACGAGAACGAGAACTCGTCGTACTTCAGGAGGAAGGAGAAGAGGCTCCGCTTCACTATCCGCCACCTGGTGAAGTCCCAGAGCTTCTACTGGACTGTGCTGTGTCTGGTGGGCCTTAACACGCTGTGTGTGGCCATCGTTCACTACGACCAGCCGGAGTGGCTCACCTTCGCTCTGTGTGAGTTTATACACTGTCTGTCATGTCATGTAAACCAATATTCCCATATGGTGCCACTATTTATATTACCAATATTATCAAGCATATTTCTACAGAACTGGCTCTCCTCTGTTGGATCTCTCCACCCTCACAGAGAGGTTAGAGGTTCCACAGAACTGCGTCCAGCACTGTGTAGCTCCTCATCTTACCATTCACATGTTTAAAAAACAGCCTCTATACATCCTAATTATTGTAAAATACTAGGGCTGGGCAAGTTAACGCGTTATTATCGCATTAACTAATTCATTTAATAATGCCGAATATTATTTTATCGCGCGTTAACAGTTATTATTTTGAAAGTCCGTTGCTCACTGGCTCTGAAGACACATACAGACAAACATGGGTCACTGCTACATTAATAATTGTAATCGTTGCCCAGCACTATACAATTATTTTATGCAGCTGTAACGTAGACTGGTCTGCATAATGATACTGTATGCACCTGCTCATTCTGTGTGTGATATTCTGAAGCTGCCTTTACATGAAGCAGTCAATCCGCTCTGCACTGGCTCGACTGATGTTTTCCTGGGAATGTCCAGAGAGTGCTGTGCTCAAAGTGCACAGGCTAACAGTGCAGGTAACCATAGAAACAACAGCAACTATCTGCGTGCACCTAAAGGCTCTGCCCGACCTCGTGATGAGGCAGGAGAACATCTCCTCTCTGTGAAGGCAGCTTCGTGTAAACCATTGTGCCTCACTTGATACAAAAAAGCTGCTCTTATTTCCTTAGAGGACCAAAGAAATGCTGCCATAAAATGATATGGATATTTTATTATGAATTACATATTTTAACCATAATCCTTACCAATCATAACTACCTAATATGTATTAATGTACGGAGTGTTTACCCTATGCCACCAATGTCCCTAGTGGAAACCAGGACAAATGGCATAAAATTGTATATATATATATAATATCTGCATGTATATTTTCTATTTCGACATGTATATTTTATATTTTATTTTATTTTTCTTTCTTTTCTTGTATATTTTGTAGTTTTGTTTTATTGTAAAATGCCTTTTATGCTGCTGTAACAACAACAATTTCCCAATTTGGGATCAATAAAGTACTATCTATCTATCTATCTATCTATCTATTGCCTTTAGGGCAGACATGAGAAAGTGGCTCAGTCTGGTGGAAAATAGTAAAAACTACAACTTGAACTTGATTGACAGCCTGATATCATAGGTATCATATGTATGTTGTTATGATGTTATAGTGATGGCTTTGAAATAACAGTGTTGTGTTTTAGCCTGGGGCATTGATCTGTGTTTCCTTATCGTCCCCTGGCAGACCTGGCCGAGTTTGTATTCCTGGGCCTGTTCCTGGCAGAGATGTCCATGAAAATGTACGGCCTGGGACCCCAGAACTACTTCCACTCCTCATTCAACTGCTTTGACTTTGGGGTGAGTCTCCTGTTCAGTCACTCCCTGGTGGCTCTTACGCCGCCTACACACGGCGGCGTGCGTTGCCGCTTCAACGCTTCTGCCCATTCACTTTGAATGGGGTGACGTCACGCTTCGCCGAACTGCATTGTGGGAGCTCGCTGCAAAAGTAGAGCAATGTTCTACTTTTGAAGCTTCGACGGAGGCGTCAGCCAATCAAATCCCGCGTATGCAAATCTGCCAGTACAAGCGCTAGCCAATCAAACCGCGTGTATGTTGAGAGAGCCAGACCGCAGTTCATTTCCTCATATGTCAAAAAATGGAGGAGAAAATAATCGTGGCGGTAGGGAATCACCCGGTGCTTTATGACCAGTCCCTCTTTACCTACCGGGATATAAACCGGAGGAGCCAGGCATGGAGGGAGGTGGCAGAGACAGTGGGTGAAACTGGTAGGTTTTCGCCTGTTTGGGGAGTTTACAGATGTAGCACCTAATTTAGGACAGTTTGAAACGCGAGGGCCGTGGTCGGCACGGGTCTGCCCTCGATCAAGGGAAAACCTCCAGCTTGACTTGAGACCACCCCCGTGATAAATACATTTAATTATAATGAAGCCAGCTGCAATGGATCATTGATCCACCAGGGGGTGCAGTGGGGTTCCACACTGGAGCTCATGTGAAATAAAGTCTGATACAGTACGGTAGATGTATGTCTGGTACTACTGTATAGCAGATCATCACCCTTAGCTATTTTAATTACCTCTCAAACTACCTAAACTAGTTATAAATGTTTATTTTTACTGTCGGCCGGGTCACTCATTACTGGATCAGCTGCTGCATGAGACAGACACTGATGCTGTCAGAAGAGAGGGAGGAAAAAGAGAGGCCAGGCTCCGTGTATTTTATCAAAGTCAAAGTCAAAGTCAAAGTCAGCTTTATTGTCAAGAATTCTACATGTTGTACATCCAGAAATATCGTTTCCCGCAGTCCTACAGTGTGACATATATACATCAAACAAAAAACAAAAAGGGCCTAGATAAACATGGTATACATGAAACAAAACAAAGGGCCTAGATAACCGGGGTATACAGTTTAAAATGTTAATAATATAATTTAAGTGTTCAAAGTACAGTTTCAGTGCAGTAGCAGCGGAGATGGGCAGAAAAGTGAGTTAGGGGGTTAGAGTCCAGGACCATTTGGGGCAGGGGAGAAAGGTCGGAGGCAGGGTGGAGAGTTCAGGGGAGAGATGTCAGAGAGGGGGAGAGAGGGAGGGAGGGGAGAGAGTTCAGCATCCTGACCGCCTGGTGGAGGAAGCTGTTGCCCAGCCTGGAGGTGCGCGAGCTGAGGCTGAGGAACCTTCTTCCTGAAGGCAGGAGGCTGAAGAGGCTGTTGGAGGGGTGGGTGGAGTCACCCACAATGCTGAGTGCTTTGCGGGTGAGGTGGGTGTTGTATATGTCCTCTAGTGATGGGAGTGAGGCAGTGTTGTAGTCAAGTCACCAATTCACGAGTCCAAGTCACTCTCGAGTCACCACTCTTCGAGTCCGAGTCCAAGTCCGAGTCACCAAGGGAGAGTCGTAGTCAAGTCCGAGTCCAAGTCCGAGTCACCCAAGGAATGTCCGAGTCGAGTCCGAGTCATCATTACCTGTGTTCGAGTCCGAGTCCAAGTCCGAGTCACCCAAGGAGTGTCCGAGTCAAGTCCGAGTCCGAGTCATCATTACCTGTGTTCGAGTCCGAGTCCAAGTCCGAGTCACCTAAGAAGAGTCCAAGTCAAGTCCGAGTCACAAGTCTTCATGTATTAATCTTCATGGATATATGTGTTGAAATGTAGCTGCTCCTCTACATTGCTTTTATCCTGTCATGTTATACTATTCTGTCTATTGAACTGCTGTGAAGCCAGTTTGGCTACAATTCTTGTAATAGGTGCTATACAAATATAAAGCTTATTACTAATATTAATATTATTATTATTATTATTATATATAAACTATGTTTAAAATGAGTTACCTTTTAGAGAAGTGATTATATTTGTATGCCAATATGCCTATGCCGTATGCCTATGGTAAAGTTTTCGTTTTGCACTTTTATTTTGATAGTAATAAGATCGGGACTCTTATTTTGAAGGAACTTTTACCGGTTAAATCGGTTTACTGATAAAGATTTTGCCCCAGAAAGCACATGGCTACTTAGCATGCAAAATGACGTCATTCTGCATGTTAAGTAGCCATATGCTTTCGTGTTATCGGCTGAATCTTTATGTATTGATTAGATGACGTTACTCTGATGATAGTGTTCAAGACAGCCTATATGTCTGAACTCGATGTTTAGAGTAATGTGTTACGGAGCCTTCTCTTCAATATTGTTTCCACATAGAGCATTTTGCGCTGCTCTTTTCCAATGTGGAAGCAGAATGTGTGAAAGCATACAGCACGATGCGGGGTGTGTCTCTAGACATCTTTAGACTGGAATAGCGGGGCCCAGTACGTGAACTCGCCTCGCAGCCGGTGCACACGCCAGGATAGAGGACATCAGACTCCATAGAAAACTTGCTCGAGTCCGAGTCCGAGTCCAAGTCGGAGGTCAATGTACAAGTCGAGTCCGAGTCATCATGGGGGGAAAAATTCACGAGTCCGAGTCCGAGTCCAAGTCAGCGTACGCGATAATTCACGAGTCCGAGTCCAAGTCATCGTGCGCGAGAATTCACGAGTCCAAGTCCGAGTCGCGTCAATCAGTGCGGGAGTCCGAGTCGAGTCACGAGTCCCGAAAATCGACACTCGAGTCCGACTCGAGTCCGAGTCCAGGACTCGAGTACTCCATCTCTGGAGTGAGGCACCGATGATCCTCTGGGCAGAGTTCACTATGCGCTGCAGGCTCTTGCGGTCGGCGGCGGTGCGGCTTCCGAACCACAGCGTGATACAGCTGCTGAGGATGCTCTCGGTGGCGCCTCGGTAGAAGGACAGCATGATGGGGGGTGATGCTCCGGCTCGCTTGAGCTTCCGGATGAAGTACAGGCGCTGCTGGGCTTTCCTCGCTAGTGCGGTGGTGTTGTTTTTCCAGGTGAGGTCATCAGTGATGGTCACACCAAGGAATTTGGTGCTGGTCACCTGCGTCACAGCAGCGCCGTTGATGGTCAGGGGGAGAGGGGGTCGACGGTGGGTTCTCCTGAAGTCAACAACTATCTCCTTTGTTTTCTCCAGGTTGAGGAAGAGGTTGTTGTTTTGGCACCACAGGGCCAGCTGGTTCACTTCCTTCCTGTAGTTAGTCTCATCGTTGTTGCTGATGAGACCCACCACAGTAGTGTCGTCTGCAAACTTCACGATGTGGTTGGTGCTGAAGATGGGTTTGCAGTCGTGGGTCAGCAGAGTGAAGAGAAGGGGGCTGAGCACACATCCTTGGGGGGCCCCCGTGCTCAGTATGAGGGTGTCTGAGGTGTTATTGTTGACCCGTACAGCTTGTGGTCTCTCTGTGAGGAAGTCCAGCAACCAGTTGCAGAGAGAGGGGCTGAGGCCCAGGTCTGTACGTTTTTGTACAAGCTGCTGGGGGATGATGGTGTTGAATGCTGAGCTGAAGTCTATGAATAGTATTCTGACATATGGGTCCTTAGTCTTAGTCTTAGCCTTAGTGTTAGTGTCCAGGTGTGTGAGGGCTGGGTGGAGAGCGGAGGAGATTGCATCCTCTGTGGACCGTTTAGCTTGGTAGGCAAACTGAAACGGGTCCAGCGATGGGGGGAGGGTGGATTTGATGTGCTTCATGACCAGCCTTTCGAAGCACTTCATGATGGTGGGAGTTAGTGCGACGGGACGGTAGTCGTTGAAGCCGGATGGAGATGACTTCTTTGGCACTGGAATGATGGTGGAATGATTTTATTATTATATAGTCGTTATTCATTTGTTTTAAAGTTCAATAAATAACAAAGAAGACCTTTGACCGGCACTTTTATAATTTTGTCCGGAAGATTTAAACTTTAACACACGTTGACCGGCGAAAAACTCTGCCCGGTTCCCTCGGCCCCCACCACGGTGAATAAACAGAAGGGCAACCATGACAACCATGCTTCTTCGCTGCTTTTGTGGAGGAAGTTACAGCGCTACGTACAGGCTCGGCATATGTACTGCAGCTTTTTCCAGCGGTTGGAGCTAAACGGAGCTGTCTCGTGTGAACACCATAAATCTCTTAATTTTGCCCTCAAAGTGCACCAGATTGATGCATTTAACTTCAATTTAAAGAAAAACATCTTCTGTTGTAACAACAATAACATTATAAATAGTAACATAGCTGAACATGGTATTGCACATTTAGCTTTGAGTGTTACTGACCTGAGATGTTTTTATTACATGAATTAAGGTGACTGAGGCTTTCTAACATAGACTTTTCAGTGTCCCACATTTTGCACAGAACTATCCCACATTAGGAAATGCAGATTGTCTGAGACAACTTGGTACTAAGAGTACTGATATGTCTGCCATTTCTTTTATGAGTGTAATATCTGCATTTTCTCTTTTGGTTTGATTAGGACACATCCTGGGGATTGTGTTTACAAACATTGACCATACCGTTCACCATCCCCCACCCCCCTACTGTATGTTGATTTTTGACTTTGTTTAGAGCAGTGAAGGTAAAGAGAGCAGAGAGCTAAGCGCTGTCAGACCGGACCTAACCCTAACCCTGAAAAGTATTATCATCTGAAATTAATCATTATGTTATTAGTTGGTTGTGCAAAATAAAGGTGGACATAGTGGAAATTGACATTGTCATCAGGTTCTATAAGGCTACTTCAATAAAAATACAAAATAATGTATCTGTGTACGTGTTTTACTGTACTGTGCACTTATCAAACATTTAATTAAAGAATGGTGATATACACAGTGATAGATGTTAAGGACTAACGTTTATAATAAATAGCCTAGTATTTATCCATATTCATAATAATATTTATATATTCAACAACCATTTTTAATGTAAAAGGTTCATAAAATAAAAACACAACACTGTCATTGCAAGTGACACTCAGTTAGTTGACTTTTATGTTCAACTGCTAAATTCGTTACTGATAAAAAAGGGCTTCTACCTAATTACCTGAAATAAACTCACTAATTAATGAAACCAGTTCAATACGCATTATTAGGGTCTGAGACCTAGGTCGGCGAAGACCCTATTGAAATCGGTCGCGCAGCGACCGATAAACCTTTGACCCCCGCAACATATGTGAAAACTCACCAAATTTTGCACGCGCGTCAGAAGTGGTGCAACTTCAGATGTGTAATTGGTTCCGGAACTTTGCGTCAAAAATTGCGTAGGCCACGCCCACTTCCGTTTTTAACCTAAACTCCCCCCACTTTAACTTTCACGTAAACGAACGAAACTCGCTACGCATATCTAGGGTGCGGAGACAAACCAAAAAGCCTCTTGGAGGGGTGTAAAATAACGTACAGGAAGCCGGCCATTTTGAATTTGGAGTCGGAAAAACGCGATTTATCGCGTTTTTCGTCCTCCGCACGAAATCTATCTTCTCCCAGGGACTTTATCCGTACGACTCGAAATTCGTCGGGTAGCATCTCGAGACATGGGCAATTAAAAGTTATCACGGAAGTTTTTTTCTTTCGCACGGCACAGCCGTTATTTGGCGCCAAAGTTCGCGTTCGCTCGATGCTAGGTCCATCAAACGCCATGGAATACGATGATGTCATAACTGAAACTGACATGCTCACAACGCCACCAAACTTCACATGATGGTTAACACTGCGGCCCTGAACAGCTCTACGTCAAAGTTTATGTTACTTAATATGGCGTTACCATGGCAACGCATCCCTCGCCGTAAAACACAATGTTGTCTTAATTCAATGGAAAAGGTTCAAAACGGCACCAGACTTCAGATGACAGTTAATGGTCCGGCCCTCAACAGCTCTACGTGAAATCTGAGATCTCACCGTATGCCGTTTCCATGGCAACGCATCCCTAGCCGTAAAACACAATGTTGTCTTAAGTCAATGGAAAATGTTCAAAACGGCACCAGACTTCAGATGACAGTTAATGGTCCGGCCCTCAACAGCTCTACGTGAAATCTGAGATCTCACCGTATGCCGTTTCCATGGCAACGAATCCCTCACCAAAAAACACGAAGTTGTCTTAAGTCAATGGAAAAGCTTCCAAACTGCACCAGACTTCAGATGACAGTTAATGGTCCGGCCCTCAACAGCTCTAAGTGAAATCTGAGATCTCATCATATGCCGTTGCCATGGCAACGCATTCCTCGCCATAAAACACAATGTTGTCTTAAGTCAATGGGAAATGGTCCACACTGCACCAGACATCAGATGACAGTTAATGGTCCAGCACTCAACAGCTCTACGCCAATTCTGGGATGTCATCATATGCCGTTTCCATGGCAACAAATCACTCGCCGTTAAACACGAAGTTCTCTTAAGTCAATGGAAAAGCTTCCAAACTGCACCAGACTTCAGATGACAGTTAATGGTCCGGCCCTCAACAGCTCTACGTGAAATCTGAGATCTCACCGTATGCCGTTTCCATGGCAACGGATCCCTCGCCGTAAAACACGATGTTGTCTTAAGTCAATGGAAAATGTTCCAAACTGCACCACACTTCAGATGATGGCTAGTAGTCCGGCCCTCAACAGCTCTAGGTGAAATCTGAGATCTCACCGTATGCCGTTTCCATGGCAACGCATCCCTAGCCGTAAAACACAATGTTGTCTTAAGTCAATTGAAAATGGTCCAAACTGCACCAGACTTCAGATGACGGCTACTAGTCCGCCCCTCAACAGCACTATGCCAATTATGGGATGTCATCATATGCCGTTTCCATGGCAACGCATCCTTCGCCATAAAACACAATGTTGTCTTAAGTCATTGGAAAATGGTCCAAACTGCACCAGACTTCAGATGACGACTACTAGTCCGCCCCTCAACAGCTCTACGCCAATTCTGGGATGTCATCATATGCCGTTGCCATGGCGATAGATCACTCGCCATCAAACACAATGTTTACTGTATGATACTGCTGTAACTCCCATTTACGTTGTCCGATCGGCCTGAAACTTCCCACGTTTGCCAACGGCCGAGTCCGGAAAACTCCTGCATGATACCTCGACGTGCGGACAACAGCCTGCGGAGCGTCGAAGACCCGCTCAACGCTGCTTGCAGCTTTAATTCTTATTCTTATCATTCTTTATGAGCGCAGAAATTGTCTTAAAATCAGACCTGTTTTTTAAATGAAATCTGACGGCAGGCAGGCAGCTCTGATCACCTAATGATAAATGCGCCACACCTAATCGCCGGCCATTCAGCCACAGCTCCCTCTATACAAATCAAACTGTAGACGGTGTGAAAGCACCTATTGTTTTAAATAATGGTCGGAATGTGACCTGTGAGCCTTCTGAATTACCGTGGGATAGCACATTCTAAACTAAAATGTTCAATCAATAAAATAACATCTTATCTTATCTTATCTTAATAATATCTTCATATTAATAATAATAATAAATCATACAGTATGTGTCCGAAAGGGAGCAGGAGGAAGCAAACACAAAAATATAAAAAATATATACTGCATATTAAAGCAAACGATTGTAAAGGTAAAAGTATGAGCATGACAAATAAAGAAGTGTAATGTAAACATTTACATTATTATTATGATTATTTAATATATAAAGACTATATATTATTGAATTACAAGATTAGTTATACTTTATTTGATCTAAAATATTGATGTGTTCAAATGCTCTTCAAAACACAACTGAAAGTCCATGAAAAGTTGTCTTTCTGTATTTGTGAATGAAGCGCCATCTCCTGGTTAAATCCTGAAATTGAAAATCTGGCAACGCCCTCTTGGAAAATAGTGGGAGCGCATTCCCAGACGCTGGTTTTAGGCAGGAAGCTGTAAGCTGGAGTCCTATCTGGAGTGCTACATCTGTATATTCAGTGTACTTCGTTTGAATGGACAGCTAGCAAGCATAGACAGTATATAGCCAGCATGGAATGTTGCGTAAAATAGCACCATAGACATTAATGTCATAAATGTTCATCATATAAAGTGTGACATGTAAAACCTTTTATGCAATTGACAGGAGAGATTCATGTGATTGGTTGTTGGTCACGTTGCTCGCGTAAACTCCCCAAGCTCAAGACACGCCCACCGCCAAGCGTCAACGCACGCCGCCGTGTGTAGGGGCCGTTAGTGTGAGCATGTGTCGAGTCACTCAAACGATCCAGGACGAGTGCTTCCAGAAGAAAGTACTGTATGTTTGACTGTTGCTAGAATAGCAAAATGACTGCAGTGTTTGGAAATGGAAACTGTGTTTGCAGGTGATTATCGGCAGCATTTTTGAGGTCATCTGGGCGGCCATCAAACCCGGCGCGTCGTTTGGGATCAGTGTGCTGCGAGCTCTGAGGCTGCTCAGGATCTTCAAAGTCACCAAGTGAGTCTTCAGAGTCTCCTGCCAGAGTGCTGGAAACACAGCTTATGAAGTGCATTTTATATTAACTGTATATTATATTGTTGTAACCCACCCCCTCATTTTCCTCCTGTTCTGTTTAACCTGTTAAGCCCGAGAGACCACGGTACCGGGGCACTGCCGCAACATCTTGCAGGAAACAGTGTCTGAGGGCATGTTCATTTAATAAACTATGAATATTTTATATCCATGTAACGGGAAGAAACTCATCTAACTGATATTTTTTTTTTTTTTTCAAAAGAAAACCCACAATGCTAACACTGAGCCTCTGAATTAGCAACGAGCGAAAAATGCTAACAGATTACTGCACCGAAAATCACTCACAAAACCTTATTATTTATCTTTTCTCTACATCCATGACATCGTTTCACATCGTGAGGTGACACAGAATCGATGGGTACCCTCATTATCACTGAATTATACGAAATGGTGACGTTATAAGCAAAAACAGACATCAAAACAAGTGGCGCTAGGTAGCTAAAAATGCTAACATTTTTACCTTGGCTCTGTAGTCTCTCCAAAGTGGTCTTCAATGGCATTAAAACGATAAAAACGCTGCTGAAGTTAATCCATAGGTTAATCCAATGTGTCTGTGTCCCTTTGAAATGATTTCTGATAATCCATAAGCATTAAAACTGCTTTTCCGTTTCCAGATGTCAGAGCTAAAGATAGGTTCGCTCTGATGCAAAACTGCATGCGCGAAGCCCCCACCTTTTCTTTTCACAATGAGTGTGATTCGATTCTATTGGCTCTAACGGTCAGAAAGAGGTGTCAACCATCAAAATCGAGCAAGGGGGGCCAGAGATATGGAAAATCCACCCAAATGACCCCAGAAGTGGTTTCTTTTTGCTAAATCTCTCTAAAAAGGTCAAATGTCACTTGTTTTGCATCAATCTTGATACAGGGTACTTATTATATGTTGTACTTTGGATTCCTAAAGCTTTTAGTCTACTAACTCATCATCCAAGGGTGGTTTTCACTATAAGTAAAAAATTATTTTTGGACAGACACTATAATTTACAGTTTTTTACTATGTAAAATCTGAGTTTTCTTTAAAATAAAAAACATCTATATTGATTCTGACTTTTCTACATCCAACTCACAGGTTTATCATTACTTTGAGAATAAAGATTATTAATTTAACCCTTTTAGAAGGGAAGATATGGTCATTTGTTCTGGGAATGTCATTTTCGAGCCTGAGACCTGAAAAACAGGCTCAGGGCTTAACAGGTTAATGACCAGCTGTTGAAACAGTAGAGGAGTTCATATATGTGGGAACCTTATTTGATTGAACGTCTTACACCACAGAATAATTTTTTTAAACAATGCAGCGGGAATTGGATATATACATTTATCTTGCTGAAAGTGTTTTAACTTTTTTTAATAGTCTGGGCACCTGGGGGGTATCATTAAATAATTATATGTTTTATATATCTGTGTGTGTAGGTACTGGAATTCTTTGAGGAACCTGGTAGTATCCCTTCTCAACTCCATGAAGTCCATCATCAGCCTGTTGTTCCTCCTCTTCCTCTTCATCGTGGTGTTCGCTCTGCTGGGCATGCAGCTGTTTGGTGGACAGTGAGTCATTCAGTGAACCTGATTTACACAATTTGCATTAAACATTCTCAGAGTTTATACTGAGTCTGAACACACACACCTAATATACAAGATTGAATGCACCTGCCTTTTTTGATAGCACCCTGCAAATCAGATTACATACAGTATGACCAGTGTTGGGGTAGTTACTCAAAAAAAGTAGTGCATTACACACAGGGTTGGGAGGGTTACTTTGTAAATGTAATCAGTTACTGATTACTGATTACATGGCTCTGAAAGTAATCCGAATACAGTTACAGTTACGTGTCTTAAAAAAGTAACGTAATCAGATTACTTTTAGATTACTTTTGGATTACTTTCTTTTTCCATCACAGATGGGTATGTTTTGGTGAACAGGAGACACAAAAAGCAAAAGGAAACTGAACGTGTTTTTACTGTTTTAATGGTTTATCAAGAGCACAACTGAAACATAACATCTGAAACGATGTAACAACATAATACACTTTTTGGGGATGCAGCTTGGGATGTGAGGAGTGAGGGACACGGCTTAGAACGGGCGTGTCGCCTTCTGTCCTGCCAGTGTTGGCAGGACATGAATTAAAATGTCGAACTCGGACTTCATTTTAAGGACATTTCGGCCAGGGGTGTAGAGCTATATTTGTTAAGCACCGGATTGGCAAAACAGGAGAGTGTGTGCACCAGTCTGCCTTGATCTATGAATTCATGTCCGTGACACTCACAGTATCTGCTGCCCACAGCTGTTTTGTAGAAGGAAAACCTCCTTCACTTCATGAAACCTCTGCAGCACCAGGAGGCAGCGGGAGGGTTAACTCAGCCTCTGAGAAGAGGAGCGTGCAGTGCCTTTCACGCACCGCCTTCACTGTGCTTACCTTCAGAAAGAATCATTAGAAAGGCTAAAGAGCGACCGCAGGCTGATGTGTTTTAACCACACACACTTCTACACACACACACACACACACGATTTAAACGCAGACTTTTGTTCCTCCATGTTTCGTTGTTATTGTTTCACTGAGCGGACCCGCACATTTTTTTCAAACGCTCCCTTTTTTGGTCCATCTGCGGCGGTAATAGGTTTTGTGCGCTGTGATGATTCGGCTGTACCTTTAGTAATGAATATTAAATGTTGTGAGGAAACCTTTCCACCAATAATTCCAATAAGTAATCAAAATGTATTCACTTCAGGTTTACGAAAGTAACTGTAATCAGATTACTCGTTTTTCAAATGTAACGCGAGCTGAATACAGTTACTTGATTTTTGTATTCTGATTACGTAACGCTGTTACATGTATTCCGTTACAACCCAACCCTGATTACACATTACTTGTTACATTAAATAAAGGTAGGACTTTGACTGGGATGTGGCTGTAAATCTGGTTTACATTCAAACACTGTTTTATTTTCTCCCTGCAGATTTAATTTTGAAGATGAAACGCCGACAACAAACTTTGACACATTCCCAGCAGCCATTCTCACCGTGTTCCAGGTAAAGGTCACCTCCATCATGCCCCCCCCCTGCTCTGCTTGTTGCACTGAAGTGGATTAAAACCCTGAGCCTGTGTCTTCCCTGCAGATCCTCACTGGGGAGGACTGGAATGCAGTCATGTACCATGGGATCGAATCCCAGGGGGGCGTTAAAGGGGGGATGTTCACCTCCATTTATTTCATCATTCTCACTCTCTTTGGAAACTGTATCCTTGCCGATTGATCCAAATCACTTCACGTTTGTGGCATTCAAGCAGCCACAATGAAAGTGTGCAGCATTCATTTGAAGAACAGCTGCAATTGTACATTGATTCTGTGTGTATCAATCATTTGCTGTGGCAAGCCATGACTTTTATACCTAGGCCCTCAAAAAAAAAGAAAAAAAAAAGAGTTATTACGTCACAGCGTATACTTCAGCGGAATATCAAAACAACGGCCCGGGATGCCAAACGCATCAATGACAGCGACCCTCTATCACACAAAACAACACCTGTAAATAACCCAATTTGTGTTCTTTGAAATTGAAAAGGATATTGCATTGTGTTTGTTACTTTCGTTGCAGTTGTATATATCTCTTAAATGTCATTTGGCTTGGCTTCCTTTTTTGTATGGACATGCTTTTATTTTGAAGGCGAGTTTACGCTGTTGACAGGAAGTTGTTGTTGCTATGGAAACAATGTGACGGAGAAAAGGAGCGGAGATTAACGGAGAAAAGTAATATCTACATATAAAGACGGAGAAAGTAAAGGATAAGTGTTAGCATCCCCCGAAGAGGCACAAGCTCTTACTGTAGCCTTTCCCTCCGAATAAGGGTCGAACTGTTGATATTGGAGATTTCAATAAATTCACATCATCAGTCAAGACTTCGACCATTATTCGGATTTATATAAACACCTATCATGACAAGGCACCAACAGCCAAGTAACAATTAAAAAGGAATTAAGTCGGCACGGCGGCCCACATTGAAAATGACTTAGGCCTACCTTTGATGATCAAATCACTTAAACACAAAGTCCATCCTCCTGTCCTTTTGGATGAAGCACTTGATGGCGGGTCATGCAGCTGATCCTTTGCCACTCCAGTTTATCATTGTAACTCAATCTTGAAAATGACTCGGTTAAAATGTTCGAAACTATGTCATCACTATCACTGACGTGAGACATCATGAACGAATGTATGCTAATTAGCTACTTCCGCCTAGCTTGACCCGTTATAACACATGCATAAACTTCACAGCGGGCGGAACTTGTCATAAAGTCCGCGATAATAAAGCCCACCCATTTAGAGGGAAGATATGATTGGTCAATTGTACTGTCATTTGACATTACTCTCTCGTTGAGTTACTATAGCTTGGCCCTCTGTGAATTTATAGCTGGACCACCAATCAGCTCCTATCTTCACAGTGACTCGCAGAGACGGCTAAAGGAGCTTCTTTCATTTAACCCTTCACATTCCAACAGAAACTGAATAGGCAGATTCGAAGGATTTATTTATTTGGAAATGTTATTTTAAATACAATTAAATCAAGTTATTTTGGTAAAACTAATGAAAAAAATATATATATATTTTTTAATTATTATTATTATTATTTTTTAATGTTTTTAAATATTATTTTGTAAAATATCTTAGGCCCTCAGAGAGGGCCTAGAGGGCCCTGACGGCTCGCCACTGATCATTTGATATTTTTCTCAGACCACAAATAACCAGACACGCTGCTCAACGTTTTCTTGGCCATCGCTGTGGATAACCTGGCCAATGCCCAGGAGCTCACTAAGGTACAGTATTTATTTATAGCCTCACACATCCTGGCTTCATACACCAACAGCATCCATCAATAAAAGGGTTTACCTTAAACCCAATCCCACATGCAGCCAGCCTTTTATTTATCTTATAGAAGACAGTGAATATGAATGGGATGTGTTTGAGGTCATTTCGGAGTGGCTGTTGTTATATAACTGATGTAATGCCAGGTCAGTATATCATTATATTGAATTTATAAGATTATTTGTAGCTCTTTATCCCTCACCAGGGGGCAGGTGTTTGCAGGGTTTCCACGGTTCCTTTAAATCCTTAAAAGTTGGTGAATTTGAGGTGGAAATGAAAATCGACGTTTTGAAAGTTTCAGAAAAAAGATATTGGTCCTTGGAAGTGCTTAACTTAAAATGAATAACTTTCTCATAGTACCAGACACGGTGAGAAGGTGACGTGGTCATTAATTGGGATGAAGATGAACCTTTGTTTTTCCCCCAGGGGAAGTACAGGTACAATACACACACATGCATTTGTCTGGTATACCGAGATATGTCTAAGCAAACAGGTTGCCAGTTTGTCCGGCGCCAGAGGTTTGGTGCCTTGCTCAAGGGTACCTTGAATAATAAAAGATGGACTTATAGGGATCCCTTTGGCTGGTGGATCACCAAACATAGTCCTGCTATGGGGAGCTGTGGCTCACAAGGTAGATAGTCACCCTACAACCTAAGGGTCGGTGGATCAATCCCAAACCCCTGCAGTCCAGATGTTGACCATGGCCATCAGTGTGTGAGTGTGGGTCTGTATGGCAGCCTCTGTATGAATGTGTGTGAATGGGTAATTGTTGACTTGTATATGTATATATGTGGTGTTACAAAGACTGGAAAAGAGATATATAAATGCAGTCCATTTATCATACACATGAGCTGAACCCTCGACTGCATACGGAGGCTAGCCAACTGCACTGCACAGTCATCAAAATGTTACTATAAGGCCAAACCTCTCAATGACTTGCTGTATGTACTGTTTGTATGTATGTGTGTCTGTTCTGCACATACTGTCCAGGATGAAGAGGAGCAAGAGGAGGCCATCAATAAGAAGCTCGCACTCCAGAAAACAAAGGAGGGGAAGGAGGTCAGCCCCATGTCAGCCACCAACATCTCCATCACAGCGTGAGTCCACTCCTCTGATGTCTGCCTCCTCACTCAGAAACACACACACTCAGGCTACATGCAGGTTGTTGTACTGCTCATGCTAAGTACCAGCAGTTTGGATGTTATGAGGGGGGGTTGCATGTGGAATGAGTCTCCATAGTCATTGTCTGATGCCTCCAGTGTGGAGAGACAGACAGGAGTTACTGAACATAACCAAAGTGCTGCTGTGGACAGAGACAGGGCAACAAGTACTCAACCTAGACAAAAATATATATTAGTTTTAAGTGTACGCCTCGATCAGTTGTGGTTATTTTGTGACCCAACAAAGTCACTAACTGCTTGGGGCATTGGTAGAGCACCAACTCCCAATGTACCATTGTACTGTTTTTGTTTGTTGTTTTACAAAATCACAACTATCTCTTTAACCTGAAAAATATAAAGAAATTGACAAAAACAGAAGTTAGACTAAAAAGCAAATCAGCTATGCACATAATAACTCATTATTTCACGAACAATACACACATGTGAGACAATACATGGCTATAGCTACAGCCCAAACATGTGGAATCTCTTCATGCAGGTGTGTGTTCTTCAGTCTTCTTCTTCTTCTTCTTCTTGTTTCACTGTCTGCTTTTACACAAACGTGAGAGTAAAAGACAGACGTAGCTTCCTCTTAGTTACTATTTTTCATTTTGGAACACAGCTGTGTTCAGGATGCATAGCAAAGACTTCAAGTAGTCAGCAGGATTTGAAATTTCAAATCTTAGAATTCTATTGAACCAGGTTGAATCTTGTTTTTTGCCCATGCTCTATCCCTGTTCACTTTAGTCTTTTTTGATTTTCAATCCATTATCCTTCTTTCTATATTGCTAACCTTGGCTTAATATCAGCCATAGTCATGAAATATCTTTAAAATAAAAGTATCTGAAGAATAATCTCCCCCTGCTTCCCTTTAACTGGCTCACATACTAAGAAATGTAAACATAAGCTCTTCTCCACTCTGTGTGATTTGGTCACGTTTGGTCTGATTTTGAGATACATTATACCTGACAAAAATAACCTATCCTATTCCTGGTGTTTTTATTTGCTAATAACGTTCATATAGTGACATCATATTCACTTGGCACGGTCTCCTAACCAGTTAATAGCTGTTATATAATGTAACAAAAATCTGAAAACGCAAATACAGCTGTGTCAAAATTAAGTGTAACTATTAAGGCTTTTATGGACCCACTGTTGATTCCACAGAGAGTATATACAAATGTTTATTATACTGCATATCAGTCTGGTTATTGAACCAGGTACCTGGGATTTAATATGTATTGCTTTATTCCTGTTTCAGATTCTTTTTATTTGAGCGAGCAACATAAAATGAACATTCTGAACAGTACAATGTTGTAAACGCCATACCTTCTTATTTCTAAGATGTAATGGTATTAATCTTGCTCATTGTAGTATAGTATAAATGTCCCTGACGGTGTGTTTGTGAACTTTCCTCTCTGGCTCAGTCTTGCGTTTTTTGCATTGAGAAGTGATGGGAGACTAAAGGACACACCACACAGAGAAATGTCAGGTTGTGTGTGGCTGTTTCTCTGACTTGATCCTACAGTATATGATGTTCCCTCTTCCCCATTTTTGTTTTGTGCATGTGCAGTTTTCTAACACGCAGTCGAGGTAACGCGCACTCTAGCAGCTCATCCATCTGCAGCGTTAACTCACTGTGAGTTATGACCTCTCTGTTACAATATTTAACCCTCCATTACCTTTCTCTCATTCCTCTTCCTCCAATGTTTAACCCTGTCATCTTGTGGTGTCATCATGTCATTCTGAAATGCCCAAAACAACATGACAGCTCCTCTGTGATCACACCTTCCGATAGAGCTGTGTGAGTGTTGTCTTTCCACTGTTGTGTGTGTGTCGGTGTGTGTCAGTGATCATGGTACCTGGCTGTTCGTGGTTGACATCTTTTGCCTGAATTTCTTTTTTTCTTTCTACAATAACTGCACCTAACCTACTGTATATTATCAGATAGTATAATTATTCGTACTGTATTTGTTCATAATTTATACTTTTAGCTGGTTGTCAACATGTATTGTGTGATATTGCAGGCAGCTTGTGTTATGCAGATAGAGAACGCCACTCCTCCGTACAAACACAGACGTATGCTAAGGTACTTACTTAGTACTCGTTGAGTTCCTATCATTCTTCAATATGTTGCTATGCAAACACTAATAGAAGCCTTTAGAAATTAATTAAAAAACTAAATAGAAAGTTGTAGAGTATATGGATGACCCAGTAGCAAAATAACACTACAAGAAATCTTACTATTTACCACAACTCCTCAAATGACCTTTAACCTGTTGAACCCGGAGGCGCTGCGGGTTTTTTTTTTTTCTTCACGAAACTGTGTCTCATTTTTACCGAAACAAAACACAAGTCTCACTAGAAGCGTCTTAATGAGCCCTGAGTGAAAAAATGCTAACACACTTAGCACAGAACTCGAGGGTTGCGGTCGAATAGTCCATTTAGCTTAGGAACCTTCCTAACGGAGTGAAATGACCCGGAAGTCCCACATGCCCCTTTCACACCAACGCAACTCCGGTTCAAGCTCCGTGCTAGAGCTTTTCTGGTTCAGAACCGGTTCTTCGGTTTAGCGCCGGCTCTTTTCACACCGCTCAGAGCCCGACTGGTGCTGCCGCTGCTGCGTCATGACGTCACAGTTTACGTCGCTGAGTTTCTCCCCAACGCCGGAGCTCACCTCACAACAACGGGCCGGGGACTGCGTTGCTTTTAATCATACGAAGCCAGATTAAATTAAATAACGACTTCTCCAACCTTATACTTTTCTCCAGAGTGCCGTGGTTCATTGTTTATTAATGTGTTTCAGCGGCATTTACCGACCGCTGCAGTGCTGGCCGGCTGCTCTTCAACGGGAGTGTATTCTCCCGTTAGCTCCGGGTTAGCTCACACGGCTCTAAAGTATTCACTGTCTGACTGTCACACAAGCAGCTGATACATATCCCCAGTTCCCCTTAAGTGAATGTGTGTCAGTCTGAATTGACGCTGTTTGGCATCACAACGCTGTTATGAAAGTTTCTCTGGTATAACATGGGTGATGTTAGCATAGCAACCGAAGCTAAACTGACTACTTGCTAAGCAGTTTTCTACAGGCACTTTTTACCGACGTATTTTTCATTATGATTCTACTTGTGATAGTCGGACATGACAACCTGTGCAGCCCATGTATTGATTCCATCCGATAGCTGCTATAATAACAAACAAAACGTCTGCCTGCTCTCCACAATGATCAATAACAGCGAACGGATGGTCAAAGTAAGGTACAAATAAACAGAATCACACGAAGCCTGGTTAGTGTTGCCTGACTTTATAAAGTGTGTTTTTTTTAACAAGTGTGTGGTTGCGTTCTAGTCACTTTGCTCAGCACTACTGCTTGTTACAACTTTTATTTGCCGTACTCGCCTTAAGTGTTAGCTCAGGTTAATCTCGCCCCCCTCCGACGTAAGCGTGACGTATGCGGTTCTTGCTTCTAGACGGACAACTTTTTGGTGCTCGAAACGAACCGGATTCCGGAGCTATGACGCTGCTCCGCTGCGGTGTGAACAGGAAAACCCGGTGCTTTTCAAGCACCAGCACCGAACCGGCCCTGAAACACCGTTGGTGTGAAAGGGGTATCAGTGGCAGCCATGATAAGTGCCGTTCCAATTCTCTAAATGAAAGGAAAGGAGGTTTCAAACTTCCTTTATAACCTCCTCTAGCTTAGGAACCACTGGACCTCCCTAACCGAAAGGAGAGGAGAAAATGCTGCCCCACAATGCCTTGCAGCCGCAGCATTTGCCGTCACACAACAGTCGGCCGTTCACGGAAACAACCGATTATGAGCGAGAAATGATATCATGAAAGTTACGGTGCTTATTAAGCATTTTAAAACGTATGTGGTAAATTGCCAAAGTGCTTTGTTTTGAACGTTCATCAGTATTATAATCAAAAAGAGAAATATGAACGTTAGTTTTTACTGAAATGATCAAATAAAGTCAACATTTCACAGTCTTTACTGAGCTGTGTGGGGTTTGTTCAACTTTTAAAAGATGTTTGAATGGTGATACAGTGATAGATGTTAAGGACTAACGTTTATAATAAATACATTTGTATTGATTTTAAGATCTTTTCATAGTTCATACAATCATACGTATTGGGATCATTTGTATTAATGTGGACCGGAGGGAGAGGGTGACGAGCATAAGTTTCACTTTCGTTTTTTATTTCAATTCCAACTTTGGTCATGAAGAATATGTTTCTCTGTTGTCCACGTTCATAAAGCATAAAACAACAGCATCAGAGCACGGTGCAGAGTCTCTAGATGAGTTTACAGTAGTCCCTCGTTCTTATTAAACATCCATGTTGTAGTCCGCTGTATAGAAAACTGTAGTTTCCATAGTTTCCCCACAGCAGCAGACGCACATTTATGACCTCCGCTGGCGCATCATAAACACGTCGGATAGTGAAAGTGCAGTCGGATTCTCTAAAGTACCGCAGTCTCTTCTCCTAAATCCTTTTGAATTCTCCTATCCACTATCCCTTAATCCCATGACGTTTCACTCAGAGGTCAAGGAATAGACAATAGTAGGGCTGTGCAATTAATCGTATTTTAATCTCGATTACGATTTTGTCTTGTAACGATTACGAAAACAACGTAATTGAAATAAAACGATTATTATTTTTATAAAAAATAAAAACTTTTTATTTTTTTTATTTTGGTTTTTCAGTTGAATTATACTTAAAGTTCAGGGTAATGAACTGTTAAAAACATACTGTTCACATTTTTGTTTCAATAAATGGATGTTTTCAAAGTAAATGGATAATCGTTTTTAATAATCGTGATATCAATTATTGACCAAAATAATCGTGATTAGGATTTTTGCCATAATCGCACAGCCCTAGACGATAGGGTTAGAATTTAGGAGCTGATTGTTTGATTATTTGACCGCAACCCGGGTATAAATACCCTTATTACATATCGGATCAAACAAGATATCGATTAGCAAGCTGAGATTCCACAGATTCTACAGGTACAGATGTAGCACCTCATTTCGGACGCCTCTATGTGGGTCCGTGATCTGCACGTGAAAGGAAAACCCCCCGCATGACTTGATACGCCCCCTTGATAAGTACATTTAATTATAATGTAACCAGCTGCAATGGATCATGAATCCACCAGGGGGAGCAGTGATTAAAAAGCTGCCACACTGGAACTCATGTGAAATAAACAGCTGATAGATCTACAGGTATCTGATATAGCGGATATTTGTTAAGATCCATATGTCACGGATAGGATCATATTCTGTGCTAAATAAGAGACATGTAATCATTTACAAAACATCACCATGTTTTTATTTAACAAAATAATGTTGTTTAATCCACGTTGGCGTAAATACAAAACCATCGGTTTGTTTTTTCATCAGGAAATGCAGACCGGCTCATACAAACGATTTTTAATCATCATCCTCACGATCATTTAATGTATCATATGTTCGCTGAATTGACATGAAAGCACTAATAAATGTAGTTTAATCCACGTGAGTTTACAACTACAAAAATAATCGGTTTGTTTTTATATCACATCCGACGGGAGGAAATGCAGCACGGCTCTCACTACCGATTTTTAATCCTATTTTAATCATCATCTTCGCCACGATCATTTATGTTTATGTTCGCCGAATTGACATGAAAGCACTGACAAATATGAATATACTGTATTCAACTTCATTAAAACTTTATTAACTTGCCCAAACTCAGTAATTCACTAAAAAGAGGTTTATTTTTAATGATGCCTCGCCATCTCACCATGGGCAAACGGGCTATAATATTATACTATTGTTAATAGTTTACTGTATTATTAGTGTTTAATATTACTGCTATAACAATCACACATTGAGTTCATTGTTGTGCAATGTTCAAATCAGACCGTTGTTTTTTTTTTTAAATAGTCTGAGACCCCGTTTACACGAGGACGAAACGGGTTGTATCCGCATAGTTTCTCTTGCGTATAGCCCTTTCGTTTACACGAGGCCGTAACAAAACAATAGAAACGGACCCCGCAAACGATAACGGGTCCCAAGGTGGATAGATCTGCAAACGGAACGCTCTGGGGGGTCAAACGGCTCCGTGTGTACGCCTCTATACGATCATTTTCTGATAACGATGAAATAGCCCTCCCTCTCCCCACGTCTCCCTCTCCCCACGTCTCCTGCTCAGAGATCAGCTGCTGGGCTGTCAGAAGAGGGGGAGGAAAAGAAAGGCTCAGTTTATTATTCTTATATTATTATATAGAGTCGTTATCAATTTGTTTTAAAGCTCAATAAATAACAAAGAAGACCTCTGACCGGCACTTTTCTAATTTTGTCCGGAAGACTTAAACTTGAACGGACATGTTGACCGGCGAAAATAAATGTTAACGGAAGAGTGGGCAAAGGGGTCGGATGCTTTGCTAGCTAAGCTGCAAAGCCAACAACACATTTTCACAAAACATTCCACATCCAGAGATGCAGCTGTCAAGACGAGTTATGTCTTAAAAGTAAACCGTTTTCGGACGGAGAGTTCATTAAGGAGTGTTTGAAAGTGCCGCTCTCCCGACGCACTGTTACGAGGAGAATTGAGGACATCGCGGGAAATCTGGAGCTTCAGCTGCAGAACAGAGCGGTC